TTTACGGGAAGTGCCGTTGAGACTGGAATTCATAGAAGTGTTACGCAGGAGAGAAACCTGGGGACTCACAAAGCACATAGTGATGGACTAGTTTTCCTACTGAAACATGCCAATCGCTGCTAATGGGCAGCGAGAGACTGAAGACTCTGATTGGGCAAAGACCCACACTTCACTTTTAGATAACGCGCACTCATTGAATTTTTGTTGGTCAACAATGTAGAGAAGAAATCCCTCCCCGGTACTACACTGGAGGTCAAGATCAAGTGCCTATACATACGGGGTGGCCTGTGAACGGTTCGGTAGCGTGAGCAGACGTTTTTGCAGTCTAAAAACTAGCTAGCAGACGCTGCGTGCGTCGACGTTGCGAGGCGAGGAAGAGGGAACGTAGGAGAGCAGAGAGGGAGAGGACGCGCATGCGCAGTGGTGGTGTAAAGGCCGCTGGAAAGGATGCCTGGAGGAGAGAGAGGTAGGACGGAGCGTAGGCAGACGCTGCCTGCGTCGGCGTGGCGAGGCGAGAGAGGGGTGAAGAAAGAGGGGAAGTGGCGCGCATGCGCTGTAAGAGGGGTCACGCCGCACATTGAATTGAGCTCGACCGTAAGGCGCTTCACCTCCCAGATATTATTTTCCTACCCGCATTCAGGGGCGATGCCGGTCAATGCCACGTAGATAATTTCGGGCCTGCTCACTGTATCTGCCGTGGGCTCTGACGTCACTCCTTTTATACTGGTGTGTTTCGCTGCACAGGCGTGCCTACACTTGCTTTCATCGTTCAACAGAAATGAATTGCTAAGCTTGACGAGCGTTTTCGTGGCAAGCTGGTGTGCTTGTCGGTGACTCAAGAATACCATGTTCTTCTGTGTCCTTGAACTGCAGCGTGGATGTGGGAGGCGCTTTGTGCACTGGATATTCGCAATCTGTACGGCTGCAAATCTGAATGGTTGGGCGATGCTCTGCGGCGAATTGTCGCAGCAAAGGAACGGTGTTGGGAGTGTTTTCGTTTTTCAAGGACAGCCGAAGAATGAAATCGGAGCGTGTCGTTCGGGAAGCTGACGTCGTAATTTGTTTTTCTTCGTGACCCAAAGGTACGTGTGTCCGTACCCCATATTTCTTAGTTGTTCCAACTGCACCATCTTCACCACGTTCCATTGTTGATCTAAAATAAAGTGGAATGTGTACCTGCGACTTGTTGGCCTGGGCCGTGGCAATAAATTTATAAACTTGCGTGGCAGTACGTTTTTAGAACAGATGTCTTTCCTTCAGGGTCGTTAAACAGTTTGGTATTTGCAATTAGCACAGCGGACTTTTTGTAATACCTCTGTTTGCTTGGTTGAGGAAAATGAAAGGATGCTGTTGCATTGAGTAGCGTGTCGGTTTTGTGCGTAGTATTTGCTAGCCGGTGTTCCAACCAAATTATTTTGGTAATATAAGTTTGCGCCAGTCTCGTCAGCAGCTTAGCCTAACATGTTTTCTTGAAATTTGGATGCGTGTAGACACTTACGCTAAAGCGCTTTCATAAACAATTTTTCAAGTGTGTGAGCTATAGTTCAAGCAAAAATATTAAGGAACCAGTATAAAATATACTAATACAAGAACCAGCAGTGAAGTGAAGTGCCCACGGGAGCTACGCGGTTTAATATAGACCCAGCACTAAAAGTTTTTCCCAGGCCCTAAGTTATATGAGCGACTACGCACCGCTGCGAGAGAGGCCAGAGAAAAAGAGGAAACGCCGCTTCTTGTGTGTGTCGCGACAGATTTTTCTGAAACGATAAATTTTGTTCCCTCTTGCAATAGGAATTACCCTATTATCGCACTGAATAACATACTTGTGGTAGCAGCACACACCCTCCTCAATAACTTCGAGTCGATGAAGAGAGATGTTCCAAAGAGTACAAATAAGACTGCAGACATTTCGCAAATGAGTAGGAACAGCTTCTCTGTTACCTTATTTATTTTGTCACTTTGTGGGTCCATAAAGTTTGCTCTTATAGATCAATTATCAGTTTTTTAGCGCACAGTCTTTGACATTTTTGTGGAAGAAATGTCCCACAGATAAATATCTCTGAACGCTTTCAAGCGTCATTCATTATTTAAACCAGAACCGTTTTTGGACGGAAAAAACAGAATAACATGTTAAGCATGTAAAACATGCCATGCACGCTTTATATTTTAACGAAGGACACTGGTGGCGATGAATTCACAGCCTTCAGTACGCGCACTCACTCGGGAAAAACGAGTAATGTGACGGCTGTAGTGAGAAAACCTGAAAATATTCTTCTAAGTGGCGTTACGCCTCTTCCCAAGGAGCAGAGGAAGAATTTACAATCCTTGGGATGTCCCCCTCGTACATCGGTGCAAAAGGGGCAAAATAAAAAAAAATAGAGAAGGTGAACAGATATTTGTTATAGCCATTACGCGTGCGGTTATCTCTGCTAGACGTGGAATGAGGCAGTTTATCTTGTGGCGTGTATCTGCTATCGGGATTGTCGATTCATTGCCAGTGCAGCAAGCAATGCCCCGTGTTCGAAATAACGCTGCCCCTTCTCCTTTCAGGCAAGCCTACGAGACTAATGCTGCCACTGTATTTGAAAGCAAAATACTTATTGCGAGCCCTTACTGGAGACTCATGTCACCCAGACTGTAAATATCGAAGCACATGCTTTACCGCTGTGTGTAGAATGCTTGTAATACCTGTGTTGCCACTGGCGGTCTTTTTCTGATTCTTTTTTATTGTCGTGGTCGTAGATGAGGTTAGGTAAGGAGTTGGCTTGTTCAGTTTTGAAGAACACCTTTTACGATATCGCTTTGTAGTGCGGCGTTTTCACTCACTCTGGTTTAGTGTTCGCACTAACGTAAATAACACTCATAGTAACACTTAAACCACAAGTGACGCTATGTACTTGAAAACAGTACATCTGACTCCTGCCACTTGTCAATCAACAGTTTATTTCTCGATAAAATCGGGTATGATCTTCAGAGCTGAATGGTGCTTAAGCAGCTTAATTTCAAACTGGACTTCCTCACAATTTCAGCATGTGACATTGACACTACAATAAACTACCGTATTGATAATTACAACATGAGCGAGTAATACCGCAAAAGTTTTAGTAGGGATTACGTGAAATCTATAAAATAACTTCAAGATTCATTTACTTCATTACAGGCCAGCATGACCGAGGCAGGAGTGGTTTTTCAAAATCAAGAAGAACAGTGCGGAAAAAAAAGTGCAACAATACTAGCACCGGATGCAGTTGATCAGTTTTACTGCCTAGCGATTTGATTTTAAACTAAGAAATTAAAGACGGCACCAATGCAATAAAATACCAGCAGATTAAGTTATATAATGACCTCAGCGATTTAATATTTGACATGACTGATGTTGTTCGAGAGCTCCTTTGAAATTGTCTGCCTCGCAAACAAACTTGAGCAGATTATTTCAATCCGAAGCACTGTGGAGAAAAAAAAAACTGTTTAAATGCCTCTGTTGCGACGAAAATGTGTAAAGGGGGTGTTTTTGAGTATCGCGCATAGTTCTGGCTCTAGTGGCTTTCAAATATAAATGTGCAGATACACATAGCCTACCATTTAAAATATTACGCTGTGTGCTCAGATTTTGGTGCACGTTAAAGAACCCCAGGTGGTCGAAATTTCCGGAGCCCTCCACTACGGCGTCTCTCATAATCATACGGTGGTTTCGGGACGTTAAACCCCACATATCAATCAATCAACCAATCAAAATATTACGCTGGACATAGGTCGACTGATTTTTCGCGGATGGCAAGTGGGGTGATATCATAGGCTTTCATGAGTTGAGTTGGAACTTTAAATATGCAACAATTATTACGTGCCCATTATGTTAGCTTGTCCCATTTTGCAGCTATACCGTAACTATAAGTACAAAAATAGGCCTTAGATGTCACGTCAGCGCCTCCTCTATTTTATCAATTCCAGCCAGATGCACCCGACCGAGCCATTCACCACTCTCTCCTTCTTCAGCCATTTCCTGCTCTCAGCCATTGCCAAGCCTTCACGTGTGCTTTGTGGTCATGGGGAAGAGAGCCCCTCATGCAGTGCCTCACGACGGGAATTTTATAAGGTAAACTTTTTTTCTCAGTTTTATGGGGCGGTGTTTTGAATTTCTCGTGATCACAATGTTGGCGGTCATGCCGGCTCTGTAAGTGATACGGTCTTTTCAGATAGCCTGTCGCCGTTCGTGGCGCTATGTGGGTAACCAATGGGGACGCGCCACGGCGCCATCGTTCCACCCTTAGACTTGAACGATTCCCGTGCTCACTACCTAATGATTCATATTTTGGAGGCTTCCCATTACCTCGCATTGGTGTGGTGAAGGTGACAGCTTTCGGCGATGACATCACATTGTGTTCAAAGAATGGGGACAGGCTGTTCAGTAGCCTACGTGTCTTTGCTGAGTATAGAAATATTTCAGTAGCAGCGATAATTTTTTCAATGAAAATGATGGTATTCATATTGCTTCCTTGGAGACCTGCTCAAGTCCTTTTTCTTCGTCTTCAAAGAAGTGACTGTTTTACCATTTTGGGGCTTGATTATACTTACTAAGGAATATCAGTCTTCGTGTGGGTTTCAATATTCGAAGATGTAAAATAACGTGTCCTTAAAGCGCAACAGTACAATTCATCTGTGATGGAAAAACAGTACCTACTACAGATTTCATTTTGCGGCCATGAATGGCACGTTTGCCATGTTGTAAAACAATTCGAAAGAGAAAGGCACGCCTGCTCTTCTCCTTAGGATACTTGTTCTTTAGTGCAATGCTAGCGACGGTGAACATAAAGAATACAAGGGCAGGTGCTGGTGTGGCTCAGGGAGTGGGCAATGCCACGTTCTTGCACTCTTGGCTAATGCAAATGACTGTAGTTAGTCTCGTTAATGTTGGTTCAGTGAGGACGACATCGCGAAATGCGCATATTAATAAAATTATAATCATGCCTTCAAATCAAAAGGAAAAACGAACAGAGGCTTCCAGTTAACGTACTTGTATTGTTCTATTGAGTTGTTTATGATACCGAAGGAGTTGCAGTTGCGATTTCATTAGTTTCACACAGCTGAGGGCTACTGAACACTGGTGCAAGCTGCAACAACAAAAAAGCAGTTAAGAAGTTGAATGCGCTCTACATAACTGTCCAGCCAATCAGATATATGACGTCTGATAGGGAACTTTCAAGGAGCCACAATTGCAGGAAGTGCCACCCCTACCGGCACCGCCTGCAACGTCCACTAGCCTGTCTGAAGGACTTCCTGCTGTTTGTTCAGCCTATCTCCACTCATACATTGGAGATTCAAGAATGACGCGGGTCGTCAACAAAAGACACAGTTCTTTTAAACACTTCGTTTCTAACCTTTATGTTGAGCTTGCTGCTGGGCACTTCGCAGCTCTTGCTTCTTCATCGTTCTACACTGTTATTATGACCGCTATTCTTCGTCAGCCTGCTCGTTATCGGACACAACTTTTTTCGGAGCAGGTCATAAGCGGAGCCGCGCTCAACTGCAGTTGTTCGACTGTAAGAGTTCCACAGGTGTATGGCGTAGCTGTCGGTCGCGGCCCGCAGCACCGACGCCGTGTGATTTCTTTGGAATGCTTTCTGCCACTCCAAGTAGTTGATGGGGTAGAAGGCGGTGCCCGGTAGCACAGTGATCCCGGAGCACTCGACGAGGGGCACCTTGCCCAGAAGGTTCCTTGGGCAGAACCAGGACAGCACGCGCTCGAGGAGCCGGGGTCCGTTGTGGGCCCACTTGTGAGACCTGCGACAGCAGGTCCGCCATTATCACCATTTCCATTGTCGGCTATATTACCATCTCCTGCATCTTCAGCAAGCCCATTTATCCAGAACATACTCAGAAGGGTCCACTAGCGCGCTTACTTGTTGAAGTTCTCAGCATGCTGAGCTTGTGAATAAGTTTTTAGCTTTATTGTGTGGGGTCGGCAACCTATTGAGATGCAGGGCCAAGCTGCGTGAAGCTGAGACAGGGAGCGGCCACACAGAAACTTCAGGGTGGTTGCGGGTGTGGCGGCTGCTCAGACAACGCATAAAGGTTAAAGGAATTGACACTAACTTGTCAATCTAGATTGGAACTCAAGATTATTTCTAGCATGCATGTCACAAAGTTGCATTTAAGCAGATGTAACAAGCCAAAACTCCCTTTTTACGTCAGAACTGCTCTGTCGGTCTTCCGTCAGAAGTGACCAAAGAAAGGAGGCGAGGAGCTATGACTCTGTTCCGGGGACCGCAGGTGGCCGATCCCTGATCTATAGTAATCTGTTGCCATCGAATGTAGCTTCAATCAGCCATGCGTGGTGTTCCCCTTGAGGGGGCTGAAAGTTCGTCCCAGACTAACAAACCAAGGTTTTCTTGATTCAGACAAACGTATCCCCAGCACGCATTCTTTTCCGTGAGGCATCTATCACTCCGCGAGCTGACCAGCAGACTTGCCTTGCCGGTCCCTACGTGGGTCTGGTCCAGGTGCGCGACCCAGTCGCGTTCCACAGCACAAAAACAAAGTTGTTTTCCTTCCTTCCCTAAGCACTGCGATCACTTCGTGTCCCCTAACTTTATTCCGGTCGTTCTCTTTTCAATGACTACCCACGTCTTTCACAATTTGAGTTTAAAATTTTTGTAGGACATCAATTTTTACCAGTAGGTAAGCATAGCTAAGATGAGTTTGCCAAATGCTTTATGGTGTCTGCCAAAGATTATCACGCTAATATTTTGAAAGATATTGAGAAAGGTCAGAATCTTTCCAACACGGTGTATGAAAAGTTGGGCCAATATTGCACTCTATACGCGGTGAATATCGCGTTTAATTTGTAGGGCTCTTGTTCAAGCATAATTTCTAGCAGTGAATTTCTGTCGGAATGGCAGTTAAGCGTCCGCAGTAGTTGCATGTCTCCTCTGTGCGCCCAATTTATAAGATTTAGGTAGCTAAACAGGAGCCCGCAATTTCAAGAACTTCTAGCCTGAGTAAAACCACAAGTACAGTTGTTGCTTTAATATGTATAGCTGATGAACTTGGTAGGTAACCTGCAGGTTGAAAGTTAGTAAAAATAGACTTTGAAAGAACGTTGTTGTAATTTCATTTATTCTTTACGTCTCCATTGAGCTATTCTTGTTTGCCACCCTGTTTTTTACATGTTATGTTGTCTCGCGTCTTCGCAGCACATTACTCTCGAGGTTACTGTTATCAAAGACAGTTTTTACTACAACTAGGTATTTTAACCACCAATTACGTAGTCACAACTACATTTCACAGTATAGTGGAACCATATTTCATATAGGTGTACCTTTTAACTGCGCCTCAGCACTGTACACAGGGGCGTATGCAATTTGATAATATTATTATCACGTGGGGTTAACGTCCCAAAACCACCATATGAATATGATAGACGCTGTAGTGGTTCGCTCCGGATATTTCCACCACCTGGGAATCTTTTATGTGCACCCAAATATGAGCACATGGGCCTATGGCATTTTCGGATCCATCGAAAATGCAGCCGCCGCAGCATATTCAATTTGAAATGTTAACTATTTTTAAGTTACCGCCATTTAAAGACGTCAAAGTACGTAAGAATTTCTCGCAAGCTAAAAGATAACATATGTGAAGAAGGGCTCTGGAAGCAGGCAGTAAAAAAAGCGCAGCGCACGATGATTTATAAAAAGCGTCAATCTTGAAAGAAGAAAATAATACTTTTGTGTGATGCATTCAAGAAATACTCGGACATGTTACTGAACCGACTTATAGATTATGAAGAAAAATGTCAAGGTGGGTGCTCGAGCTTACTTATACGTCCTACTGAATTCTTCGAGACAGCGCAGGAGAAAGGGATGACCCCTGTCGAAGACCAACACGCTGTTGCCAACATCAGGAAAGAGCTCTCGGGAGACGACATTTCTCAGTTCATCGAAGTTCTTGAGGGTTAGAACATCCATGTCAGCATAGACGCCCCCATATTTCCACAGTACGAGCAATCTCAAGGCATCGCTCAGGTGGTTGACCCGAAATGGACTGTGGTTCCAGTCATCCTTTATATACCAGTGCACAAGGACGCTGTCCTTGACCATTGAGTTCAGGTCGATCTTTAGCAGTTGGAAGTTTGGCAGCTGTTGCAAGTTCCTCAGAGGCCTGTGCAAACAAGATTGTATTGGTGTAAATGTTCGAGCAGATGTGTTATTCATTGATGGCTGACACGCTGCAGCCGTTAAAGACCGTTCAGTAAATGTGAGATTAGATTCTACCAATAGTGGCGTAGCTAGGCTGTGGAATACCAGGCCCATGCCCCCCTCCATTCCCATGAATCATTTTTCGCCATGACATAAGAAAAGGAAGAGGAGGAGCCTAGAAACTGTGGCACACACACACGCTGGAGCATTGTATGGCCCATCTCCAGAGTGGGCGTGTACTACAGTTTCCAGGCTCCTCCTCTCCTTCTTCTATTTATGTTATGGCGACATATTGTTTCTGGGGAGGAATGGGAGGCATGGGCCCGCACAAGAGGCCCGCCCCCCATTCAGATTAAGGATCCCCCCCTCCCAAAAAATCTTTCTGCCTATGCCCACGATCCCAGCGTAAGTGTATTGGCCAGAAATTACATTGGAAGAACCCATCAATATTTTCGTAATTTTAGTTGTTTTTTTGTATAGAGCAAAGTTCATGTAAAATTTCGTTGAGCCCGCCAATGTGAATAAAAATTATCATCACCATGAGCCGGTATGCGCTCTCTTTGTTCTCTTCTTCATTTTATGCTTTGATTCCACAACACGTGCGCCTATTTGTCTGGCGTGAGATGCAATAACTGTGATGAATCAATTGAGTAGTAAGAGAGAGAAAATACATTTAGGAAGAAAAAGAAAGCGATAAGCAAAAACAAACAATTAATCAGAGAAAAAAAATAGAAAGGCATAGAAAAAAATACATAGAGAGAGAAAGAGTTGTTTCACTTTATGAGTACTGGTTTGTACATGAGCTAGGCAGTTATGTCACCTATGGACGCGTCCGTTTGACCGGAGAGGGACATGCGATGCTCAAACTGATCTGGCGCCAAGCCAAGCCCTGCAAGGCTCCGCTGTTGAAACTATTTGTCGGTTCCTTCAATGGAGTCGGGGGTAAAAGTTCGTGCGGGATCGCGCAGTTTCAGTTAGCCCCCACGTGTGGCTAGTTACCTACAATCCCGCATGTCCAGTATGGTGAGGAGCCAGACGGTGTAGTAGGGATGCCGAAGAGCTGCGGATTCGATGGAGCACGCCGCCCGTTCGTCGATGCACGATGCACCGGCGGTCTCGAGGAAGAATACGTTTTTCGTGGAATCGTTCAGGTTGACATGTCGCTCGATGCCTTTTCGCTGATCTTGCTCACCTGCAAGCGGTGCACAGTTGCTACATGACGGGGTTTGTGCAGCGCTGAAGAAAATGACTAAAAAGAAATAAAGCAGAAGATTCGGAAGATGGTCTGAAGCACGGAAGTGTCCAGCCATCTGGAGAGCCGATTGTCATTCTGCTGCATTTATCCGGCCCCTCGCATAAATGTTTCGGGAATTTATAAAATTTGTTGCCTGAATATCTACCTAATTTGTTTTCGTTGATGTACAGTTATCGCGAAAATCGGGAACAATCGCATTCCCGGCAATGAACTTGCGAACGTTATGGCTTTGTTATCAACTAAAGATCGTTTATATTTGCTAGGCCCCACCTAAACGCCTTTCGCCTAGGTCTTGATACGCCCGTACGAGGTGTAATTGAAGCCTTCTACTTTTTAAGAAAATCGGATGGTAGCGTTACTGAACCGCCAAACTTGCTTTTCAACACAGGGTTATACTTTTTTTTTTACTCCTGGTTTTCAACCGCACTTTTCTGTGTACGTTACCACGCGTTATTGATTGACATATTTGCACAGCGCAAGACCACGAGTAGTTACGACGTAACTACAGAAAAAGAGACAAGCTCTTTCTGTCCTTGTCTCTTCTTCTGTAGTTACGTCGTAACTACTCGTAGTCTTGCGCTGTGCAAATATGTTAATTCCTAATCACCAACTAACCCGAGCATCTGTCTTATCACGCGTTATTGACTATAGTCTGGTTTCGTTCTTTCCATTTCACATTAGGTTAAGTTGAAACTATACTGAATTAGAATATGATAGTACACTATAGTTGAAACTCAGTATATGTTCCCGCATCTTTGTTCTTTTTATTTTTGATAGCATTGACCCGACCCCATCACGAACTCTAACGAACTAGCTGAATTTTGAATCCTTCTGTAGTACTTGCTCCTTGCTCACAAATGTTGGCACATAGGCCTACGGGGCAAGAAGACATGAGCTATAAGCCGCAACACTAAGCCGGAATAAAATGAAATCAGCCTTAAAAATTGGGCTCTGAGATAATCATGGAACTCCTCTTCTGGCGTGCAGTCAGCATGGAAAGGGCATAGACCGCCAGACCCATTTAAAAAGCTATAGAAAAAATAAACTTTGCACTTATTTGGCATACATCCTGGGATTTACAAGTTTCCGGCCTGCCCTCAAACACTTTAACGTGTGCTGGACAGTTCACCCGAGTGTAGTGACAAGTTGCGGGGAAATCAAACATTTTCTCATACCTAGTGCTCTCAAATACTTTGAAGCCGATTGTGCATCGCTAAGAACACCCCCCCCCCCCTTTCTCTAAGGACGCCGTCTTCGCGCTCCGCTGCTTAACAGTATGCCATTTGCGTCTCTCAAGCAGCAAAAAAAAAAAAAAAACTTTGTCCTATGTAGTTTTTTGTTTGTATTTACAAAATACACAAAAGAAAATCACCAGTCCACATCTGCAGCCGAACTCGCATGTGAACAACTACCTAAAAGACGGAAATTAGTTCGATATATTTCACCATTCAACGTCAAGCTTATAAAGAAATGCGTATTATGAATGTCCATTTCCATGCACGTTGGCTTCACAACACTGCTTCACGATCATGAATGGATGGCAGCTCTGGTAAAACGTGGGCAGCTTTCTTTTTTTTGTTCTATGTTCTTGTTTTTGTGTGATTTGTAGAGTACAAAAGGGTAGGGGAAGTTGTAGGAGAGAATATGCAGTGTCAATACAGCCCTACTAACCACATCACTCATTGATATGGGCATCGCGAAAGTCATTTCCTGAGAGGAAGGTGATTCTCGAGATATTTCGCACTGTCCGATGCAGCTTTAACGTTAAAGCATTTTCATGTTCGTTAAGAGCTCGATATAAAGGATAATTTCATTCCGAGGTTGGGTTTCATTCTACTAGCCGGGCATAGTTCAGAGATATTTTTATGTTTTCTCAAGAGGTCACGAAAGCACAGTTAAACAGTTAGTGGACGAGACAAATGCGCATTACCATTTATAATATTAGAATTTTATTGCATGAACACGCTTAATTACAATATCTTACCCAAGCATTGCTGTTGTGAACCACCAGAAGCCCCGGAGAGGAGTGCGCGAGGATCGTAGCCAAGATGTCTTGCGCTGACTGGACCAATTGAGAAGCTCTTCGTCAGACAAGCTTTCCTTCGTGATAAGCAACAATTCCCACCAGAAAGAAAAAAATCATATGGTCTCCAACTCACTAGAATCTCTGTACAAGGAAGGCTTGTTCAGCAATGGTATTGATGACAATTAGAAGGCTTTCTAGTCGCGTGTATCTCTAAACTATTTTAGAGAGTACGGCAGTCTGCGATGTCTGATCCACGACTAGATGGGGATGACATGTGTGAGCTTACAAAAGTTCTACTAATGTATCAAACAGCTTTCCTAATTTGCACCACAAAAATAAAATACCTCCCACGGGATTTCGAAAAACCTGTCCATATTGTTCAGACATACGAACACTCAGTCAAATAACGTGGGAGAGCACCATGAAGTCCACACACATTCACATCCCCCACATTACTAAGCAATAGCACATGTTACACAAACAGTGGAAGGCATGGCTTGCAGAAGAGAACAATCGGAGCCAAATAGCTTTGCAAATCTTATCAGGCCCAGCAAGCTACTCATTACAGAGTAGATAGAGGTTGATAGACACTCAAAGAACGTAGATAAACGCTCAAAGTGCCGGTCGTACTCAAAAATAAACGCTTCGTTCTTAATAAAGCTGCGGAATATCACAAGGTAGGTGTATGCTAAGAAGGTGCCTCTGCACCTTGTTTTAGTACGGACATGTGGCTGCAGATAACGAGCGCAAAAGGTGCCTATAGATTTAATATAGCAAACAGCTGTATCGATTGCGACGAAGAGATCAATGTGACGGTTCGCAGTGACGAAGGCCAACAGCCACATGCTTCTCATGTCATGTCACGCGTTGACAGAATGCAGGCCATGCGTTTGATACACAGGACTGAGAAGACTGCCCGTTTGGAATGCCAGTGCTTGCTTTCTCCTAGCAGCATCGCCGAAAGGCTGAGTCATATCTCTAAGCCGATTAAGCGAGAGTGAAATGCTGACGTGGGAGTCAGACACACCAAGCTTGGAGCAGCGAACAGTAGGAAAACAACAGAAAGGAAACCACGGAACGAACTGCACTCATAACCACGCAAAAAGAACAAAAGACAGCAGGAGAAAGCAGAAAAACACACAAAAATAAAAAGCAGAAAAAATCAGATAAACATCAGCATACAAGAAAGGCGCAGGCGACTGAGTTTTTTGCAATGCATACAGGTTTCTTTTGGGGTGGAACTTGGTCTTGGATTCTTTTTATCGCGTGTTTTTACGAAATCAGGCCACATACGACATAAAACTTCAATAGATGGTTAGGGTCATCAAAATGTAAAGCAGTGCAACTTACGTGTGATCGTTAGTAGTACGAAGAAAACCAACGTGATAAGGGCTGCTAAGTCGGAGCTTCTGTGGTGCTGACAGATGGAAACCGGCCCCTGCTCGAGATCATCAACACAGAAAGCGTACAGCGGCATGACGTTTACAGGTGAGGAAAACAATTGAGTTTCTATTGATCTCACATCCTCATAAGTATAGAACTAGTGTCTTCGTCGGCATTATAATGTTACATAAAAATAAATTTTAAAGGTCTTAATCATAGCAAGTGCAATTCTGTAAGTGAGCATACAGCTGATGAAGTCGAGGGATCGAAATAATGTTGGGCTGCCGTACAGCGCCTTGTCCACCGCGAATGAACATAACAGGAAGAGCAAGAAGTTTTGTGTGACTTAGCACATAAAGCCAGGTACTCTCGAATATTGAATCACGATTTCTGTCCTTGCAGCTCATAATTTCTGTCACTGTCTGAATATTGCCTCACACATTCCTTATTTTCACTCTTATTACTTTTGGCTTTCGCCCAGAGAGCCTTGCAGCAACGCTCAGCGCAAACTGCGCGTCATTGTTCAAGAATGTTCGCGATTACGGTAGACTGTCATGTGAAGATTCTGTGCAAAACGCGAACAGTCGAAATTATTCCAGAGCTTGCGCGACGACCAGTGGTAAGATTGGAACATTCTACGGCACGTGTATAAACGCCGCCTGAAATAGTCTACGGCACATGTATAAACGCTAACGCGCTTCACTGCTTGTCAGTTGATCGATGGTCTACGCTCTGTTTGCCGCTGCCAGTGCCAGTGCGAACCACTGCAATAAGAGTTTTTGTTGACCGGCCGCAAATTCAGCCAAAGAAACAGTTTCATCTCCTGTATACAGTCTGCTCCCTTCTTCGACTTCACGACCCCATGACAATATGAAGAGACCCAAGATGAAACGTTCATATTTGATCTATTTCGCTTGAAATGATGAATCTGCTGTCCGAGACGCTCTGGAAATCCGTGGAGCCAGCATGTTCAGAAAGAGTGCTGCACCTCGCGTCGGTGCAAGTTGTTTGGTAGGCTAGTAATTAGCGGCATTTTCAGCCCGAAAACCCCGATATAATTGTGAGAGACATCGTAATGAAAGGCTGACTTCCTCGTGCTGATTAACACGAACCTAAATTTACTTGAGAAGCCTCGAGGTTATTGACTCCTTATAAATTCGGCCGCAGCTGTTGGCATTCATTCCCGTAACCTTCGTATAAGCAGCCAAGCAGCTGAGTCACTAGACCACCTTGGCGGGTTCACCAGATAGCTTGAGGCACGTAACGTACATCACGACAGGTAAAAAGTGAGAGTACAGGCAGCACGTTCATGGGGAGCTCAGAACTGCGATAACGATACATTATGACGCTTTACCGCGAGATAGTTTCCGTGACTATGGCATAAAAACTCAAAAGCACCTTACCATGACGTCAGAGCTGGCGATGTCATATCCCGGCAATCTTGAATGTAAGGTAAACAATATTTCCTCCCACGTTTCCCAGTTAAATTGGCACCGGCATCAGCAAGAAACTATCAAGCATCGGAAAGTATTGTCACTGCTTGACGCAGAGTTCACACTTGTCCTGATCCTCCGGAGCAACGCCTTGCTCCTGCTAAACTAAACTCCGAGTAGTACGTGCACAAGCGACAGCGAAGCCTGCACTTTGCGAAGCTGTAACACACACACTTTCGTTACTCTCACTCTCCTCGCCCCGTTCTTTGTTTCTTCACAATGGAGTGCCGCTGACACTTGATTCGTGGAGGCTGAAAGGTGTTTGTTAAAAAGTGTGAAAACTTTTAGTGAAAGCATGAGAAACACACACAAAAAACAAATCTAATCCAGCGGTGGTGATAAACAAGTAAACTGAACAGATTCAGAAAGCAGTGCGCAGGAAATAAACAACCTATAAGCAAAAAGGAACACACCCAAAAGCAACACAGAACGGGACCTATAGTGGGGACAAAAATGAGAGAAACGGCGACAATTAGGCGCAAAGGCGTGGCGAACATAGCCACGCCGGACACTCCCAGAAAACGTGCTCGTCGTGCATGGGGTGCGCTAGTGAGCGGTTGACATGGGGGTGTGGAAGTCCCAGTCGCGAGGCCTTTGTGCAACTGCAACCGGAATCGGACTCACCGTCACGCCTGTCTACTTCACAATGGCGGGTGCGCATCCCGTGACGAGGCACGGCCAGCGGTTTTCCGCTGCTTGCACGCGACGCACCTTTTGTTTCGACTTTACCACGCTATATCTGTAGGGCGCGCGCGCGCGTGCCAAAAGTGACTCGCATATTAGGCATACTTCACTCATTTGCGAATTCTCCAAGCGACCCAACAAACCTCTGGTCTCATTTGGAGGTTCGTTGTCACAGACGACATGAACTATATAAATTTAGTTCATTGTTGAGCGTTCCAAACTATTTTGGGAACCAACCGCTTTGACCTTCTTTCTATAAGTGGTTTACCTATGCTTGTAAATCCAGTAGCTAAAGTTTGTGGTACACGAAGTGTCCGAACAAGATAGATTGTCGCTTTGTCTAGGAACTTGACATTCAAAGAAGTGTTGCTGTAGCTGGCATTGCGAACAGGGGTTATGATGCTCGGCTGCTGATCAGACGGCTGTGGATTCGATTCCTGCCGTGGCAGTGGTGGCATGGAATAGTAGAGGCACCTGTTCTGTGAGATGTCAGTTGACGTTAAAGAAACCAGATGGTCTAGAATTCCGGAGTGCTCCACTGTGACACCTGTCATAGTCATATCGGTGCTTTGGGGTGTAGAACCCTAAATGTTATTATCACAAGATGTAGTTGAAATTGCAACATAATGTCCCCACAAACCTGACGTTCTTCTAGACCTTATTGGGGAGTGGGGTCACGTATAGAACAAAGATGATAACAATTTTCTCGCATTGTTCAGAGGTACATGTCCTCCTAGAAATCAGTCCATTCGGTATCCAATGGGGAGGTTTGATTATATTGCGACGAGGCGGGATCGACGAGTACACAAAGCACCTCGAACAAATACGCTTTATCGATCACAGGACAAAGGCTGCAACGTCTTCTTCGTCTCTGCTCTCGGCCAAGAATACTCGCGCTGCTTCGTTGTCACCGCCACTGGCACATACGCGCGTCAATATATGTGCAAACAACGGCAAACGTGTGCGGGACGGGAACGTTAAATTAGATCATCATCATCATCATCATCATCATCATTATTATTATTATTATTATTATTATCATCATCATCATCATCATCATCAGCCTGACTACACTCAGGAGAAAGGCCTATCCCATGTTTAGCCAGTTAACTTGATCCTGAGCTTGCTGCTGCCGCTTTATACGGCCACGCATCTGCCCAGCTAACTTTCTGTCTCCCCTTCACCCACTTGCCTTCTCTTGGAATGCAGTCCGTGATCCTTAATGACCAGTGGTCATCTTGCCTTCACGCTACGTGCCCTCCCCTTCGTCATTTCTTTTTCTTGATTTAGACTATGACGTTTTTAACACACGTTTGTTTCCTGATACACTCTGCTCTCTTCTTGTTCCTAAGGGTTACATCTATCAGTTTTCCATCCATTGCTTGATTTAGACTATGACGTTTTAAACACCCATTTGTTCCCTGATACACTCTGCTCTCTTCTTGTTCCTAAGGGTTACATCTATCACTTTTCCTTCCATTGCTCGCTGCGTCGTCCTCAACTTGAAAGTTGAAACCTCTTTATAATACTCCAGGTTTCTGCTCCGTAGGTAACTACTGATGAGATGCAGCAGTTATATGACTTCCTCTGAAGGGATGTTGGCAATTTACCAGTAATGAATTGAGAATGCTTGCCCGTTGTGCTCCACCCCATTCTCAGTCGTATAGTTACTTCGATCGGGTGGTTCGGCTCCGTGGTTATTTCGTGTCCTAAGTACACGTACTCCTTACGGACTTCAGGAGCACTGCTACCTATCTCGAAGCGCTGTTCTCTTCCAAGGTTGTTCTACATTACTTTCGTTTTCTGAAGATTAATTTTAACTCCTACTTTTCTGCTCTCCTTGTATAATTCAGTATTCGTGAATTGTGATTCGATTAGGATATATTGTGACTTTATCTACGAACATGATGACAATGTAAATTTTCCTGCTGTTGGCATGGCAACACTTGTACCCAACTTGATCAGGATTGGCACAGCAGAAATTCAGATTTCTTACTGAACTAACGTTCCGAAAACTTTGGCTGCTGAATGTGCATATTTTTTTCACTGATCTGTCATATCGTATAGTATTATGATCCCCCCCCCCTCTCAAAAAAATTGCTGGAGCCCATGTTTCAAGAGAGGGGTGCCTTCGCCCCAGCAGGGGACATCCCATGACGAAGACATACGCTCGTGCCCTAACGTTAGCCTAAAAGACGTACACTGCTCCGCGAATTCTCAACGTTTAAAGCATCCATCTTCAGTACCATAAGCAGTACTCCGTTGTAGAATTGAAACCCGAAAGCTGCGTCACTACCATGTAGCTAAAAAGTGATCATCGTCCGCTGTACGCTAATTGAAATCCTACCGAAAAAAACCGAATCTAAAGTTCTAGCTTAGCCTTTCAATGCTTGAACAACTGTGGTTTTAGCAAACAAAAATAAATTCGTGTTCGAAGCTTGTTTTTTTACCCATTTCAGGTTCTGGTCATGATGGAGTGGCTAAAAGTGTCTTATTCACACGATGTAATTCATTGGCCCCGATATTACATCTCATTAAATAAACTGAGACAATGTGTTGTTTTGCGAAATTTTCAGCCATTTTAATTAGCGCGTCAATAAATATTGAACTATCCAGTTTCATCTTTCGTACAGCGAAAACCATTTATCAGGCTTGGAAGGTATGCCCACAAATTTTTTTGCTTCTGTTCGTTTCGAGCAAGGAAAAAATTAAACTTTCGACTTAGGTCAAGGAAGGTGGAACGTTGCACGATTGTCGAACATGGTAGTGTTCTCAAGAAAAGCGACCATTTGCAGCAACAGTGAACTTAAATGACCGCAAGTTCTCTTCTAAGGGAGCTAGTACAAGTGTCCTTACGGAATTTTTAGCCATTTGAAGAAACACTCGGTCCCTAACGTGCCTCCGTAATTGATGTGCACCACCGCACGGACCACCACTTGAAGCGCTGTTCTCCTGTTGATGCCAGAAAAGTTACGTTTTCTTTAACGTTCCTAAAGTGTCGGAGATAATATTGTGGTTAGTAGGCTGAGTTTCCTGAACATAGACCAAATAGGCTGCACACAAGATATTCGTTGCCTGTACTTTAGTTAAAGCCCCGGTTATACAAATACTGCGGGTGAGAAATTATCCTGCTCCGTGTTAAGGATACCGCTAGCGTGACGTCACCTACACCGTCGCTTATTATTCGTCACCTTTCCCGTATTTCAGTGTCTTTGAAAGACAATTATCGATTTCTGCACACGAACAAATCTACGTCATCAGACCGAACTATACGGCTGACTTTGTTTACATGCGCCCAAAACAGAAATTGCTCTATTCTTTGAAGATATGTCTTCAAGACAATCACTGTTTTGAAAACACACAACAAATTACTTCAGTGCCTTAGCAATAATTTCATTACCAGTACGAAGGCTTTCAACAAGAAAAGCAGACCTGTAAATATCTTATAAGAATTCCACAAATGTTGAAAAAACGGTCAGCACTAGAAACGAATGTACTAATAAAACGCATCAATGCACTTCACGCGTCTTTCGATTAAATAAACGAGACAATACGAACACGCAAAGGTGATTCAATCATGTGTCCAAACAGCAAAAAAAAAACGTGTGTCATTATAAGAAACAAAGTCATTATTATAATAGAGTCATTATAATAAACAATATACATGAACAGGTAGAGCAGGGCTAAAAAGGTGCAAAAGAAGCGACCAACAACAATGCCCTTCAAAATGTCAGGAATCGCAATCTAATCGTGGCAAGTTGTGGCATTCAAAGGCGTCGGCAAACTGCGGAACACTCATAGTGACCACATTGCAAGTCGTCTGCAGTACATCGCTATCACTAGCGTCATCCCGGTCCGCTAGAGAGCAGCACGTGTGCTGCAGTCGAAGTAAAAACAGTCTCTTCATTACGCCGCTGACGTTAACTCTATCATCTTGCAGCGCAGCCGCTCGCAGCGCCACCTGGGTGGCCCATTGTCGTTGTACGAGCAGACGCCACCGCTCGACTGGTGGCACCAGACCTAGCCGACTACGCACGTATCCAACCAAGCACGAGCCGTACATGGTCCAGTTCCAGTTGCTCGGCAGCTGCGCTCTAATCGCGGATTTACTCAGGAAGAAGCCCAGCGTCGCGTAGTTGACGACTACTTCCGTCGCCTCGTCGCGGTAAAAGTCGGGAACCAGGAGCCGGAAGAAAGTTTCCCGGTCACTCCACTTCATGTCAAGCGACTTGGGACTTAGGAAAGGCTGGCACCCCCTTCTTCCCTTGGAGGACTTCTGCGAAAACAGGATCACGTTCGACACGAAGTCGTCGCTGTATTGCGATGGCAAGACAGTGAGCTCCCTTGATTGGTGCGAGGTGGGACTCGAGAAGCCAGGTT